GGGTGTTACATGTGTCAGACTCTTTAAAGGATGTTTCACTTTGGTGGTACATAGGGTTGATAATGAACCAAACCAACTCAAAAATAATTCAAGACTCTACTCAATAATTAACTCGTGAAGAATAATATTGTAAGAATTTGAATTGTATTATTAGTATAAGAAATAAACATTTGATATAAATTAATTAAGAGGCTAAATACATTGACGAACTTCCGCATGAAGATCCTTGTCACCCTAGGGGTAATACATTGATGGACTCCCACATGAAGATCTTTTTCGCTCTACGGGGTATTTACATTGTCAAGCCTTCATTGAAGGATCTTTTCTGCCTAAGTAGACTACTCATTTAACACCAAATGAAGAATCACTCCCAAACGACCTCAACTAATCCATAAGTAGCAGAAGAGTCAACACTCTAAGAATTTCATAAATAAGTTCTATTAGCAAGGATCGATTAAGTATCGCTTGAAGGACTCAAGTAAGTCTCGCATAAGGAATTTAACAAAGTCTCGTCAGAAAGGCTCGATTAAGTCTCGCATAAGGGACTAAATTAAATTTTGCCCAAGAACTCATTAAAAGTCTCATCAGGAAGGCTCGATTAAGTCTCACCTAAAAATTTTGAACTAAGTCTCGCTTGAGGGACTCAACTAAATCTCGCTTGAGAGATTAACTAAGTCTTTCCTGGGGGAATCAACTAAGTATCGTCTAAGGGATTCAACTAAGTCTTGAGACCTGAAGGTATGAATAAAGGTTTGATAAGGATCATGCAAAAATCCCAAAGGTGAGTAAAGGACTAAAGCACTTCGACCTTTACGAGCCCTTATGCTTGAGATATTGTGTAGTGGTGTAATTGGAAAGGGCCATGGGGTTGGCGAAGACCTACGCTTCACCCCTTTGTTGGTTTGAGTGCCCCTCTTTTAGATAGGGTGCCTTTTTCTCGAATGCGATGCCCATATATTTCGTGGCTCCCTCCATAAAGCAAATTGTTAGGGTACATGTATTGGATCAACAAATGACACACATGGAGGTGTGGGAATTAACTGCGCTCAGTCTTAGATCCAAGTCTTTGGTGACTATAAATATCCCAATATAACGATAGAGAAAGGAGACCAACGAAAACATAGAAAATATACATATATGATAGTTTTTCACTCCACACGAACTAACTTTGAACCTCAAAACAATCTTAAAGTTTCTGACAATCCTTAATCGCTAAGAATTGTTAAACATTAGTATTTTTAACAAATAGAATTGGCACCAAAAGAATATTCTAAGTATTTCACCTTTACAAGCTTATTGTTGTGAGAAATGTGAACCAGTGTCAAATTTATTTCAGTGTGAAAGCTATTCTATATGCTCTTAAACTTTAAATTTGAGAATTTGAAGAAAATTAGACTTTTTTGAATAAAAATGAAAAAAAAAATAAGAAATAATAATCTCCATTATGAAAGAATTAAAAAATTATATTAAATGAGAATTTAGGAAATATGGGATTGGTTTTTCTTCATAATACTATCTTCCTAAAACGAAAAAATTCAATGAGAATTTAAGGAGGTTAAGGGTGTGTTTGGTTCGGGGTAGATGGAGGGGAGGGGAGGGGAGGGGAGGGGAAAATTTTAATTAAATATGTTTGGTTCAAATTTTAGGAGGGGAGGGGAGGGGAGGGGAGGGGAGCAAAATCCCTCCAAAACACACTTTTTGGTTCCCTCCGAATTGGGGGGATTTGGAGGGGAGGGGAGGGAATATGAATTTTGATATTTAAAAATTATTATATTTACTAAAATATCCTCAGTTTAATTTTATTATTTCAAAACTATTTGTTATCTTTTGTGTTACTGTTTTTTCTCGATTGTTTTCATCAACTTATTATAATTGTTCTCCACCTTCAAATTATTTTATTATTTTTATAATTAATATAAATCATAATCATTGTCTTTTTTTTATAAAAAAAATTATGTTTCGTTATATTCGTTTTTTTCCTTTTAATTTTGTTATGTACTCTATCATATTTTCTTTTATATCAAATTGTAAACCATATCATTTTATTTATTTTTGTTTATTCATTTTATTAAATATTTTGAACCATTATTATTTAGTAATAAGTTATTTTATATATTTGTTTTGTTATATGATTCATCATAATTTAAACGATGTTATTGACATATAGTTTAATTTATGTTGGAAAGTTATAAGTCGAATCGATTGTACTCAATTTTTTAACTTTATGTGACAAATAAATATTTTTTTAATCACTCAATATTAGAAATTTTATTACCAACAAAAATACGCACGAATTTTTCACATTTTAATATCATATGACTTATATAAAATCATAAGGATAAAAATGTAAATTATTAATAAAACCCCTCCCCTCCCCTTCTGAACCAAACACATTTTTAATTAAAATCCCTCCCCTCCCCTCCCCTCCACTCTTTTGAACCAAACACTTATTTGATTAAAAAATTCCTTCACTTCCCCTCCCCTCCCCTCCCCTTCATTAAAATCCCTCCCCTCCCCTCCCCCTCATTTGAACCAAACAGACCCTAAAGCAAATTTTTCAAACTCAATTTATGTTATTATAACTCTGTCTCTCTCTCTCTCTCACCACTCTCTCTCCACTCTCTCTATCTCTCCACCCTCTCTCTCCACTCTTTCTCTCCACTCCACTCCACTCTCTCTCTCTCTCCCCACTCTCACTCTCTCTCACCACTCTCTCTCTCTCTAGAGAAAATAAAACTTATTGATAGTATCAAATAAATACACAATTATTATACCAATTAACAAAAAGATATAAAAAAATATTTTTACTTAATAAAGAAAACTTCATAATATTCACAATTCATTCAAATGGTCATATTATTTATTGATAATATCAAAAGAACATCAATCGTGACAAAGGTTGTCTCAAAATACAAACTTTTTCCAATAAGTAGGAACTCCAATAGTCTAAAGGGTTTTTTTTTCCTCCAATAAGAAGTAGGAACTCCTAATAGACTCAAGATGTATTGATCTAGAAGAAAAACATGATTAAACCTTATTACCTCCATTTCCATAACCAATTTTTTAGTAATTTGTTTCTCTTTGTTTTTCTTTACTAATACATGATTTGATAAATATAGGTAGACAATTTTTGGAAAGTCGTATTACAACTTCAACTCACATATTTTTATTTATTTAAAAAATTATAATATTTTATATTTGTAAAAAATAAATTTACATCATAACAAATACGTTTGCGATTGAATCATGACATCTGTGACCGCATCTGTAATTTAAAACTGCGGTCTAAAGCATAAGAAAGAACCACACATTTTATTGTCTCAAAAATGCATATTGATAAGGAAGTTTTTTTTATAGTGCAACCACTACCATGTTCCAATGCAACAACTCTATATCATCGTTGCTAACGCAAGACAGTATCATCATTCCAGAATGGCGTCGCAAAGATACTGCAGTTGGATGGTGGCAATAGACTGTGACGGAGATTAGCAAAGATGACTCTAATAAATGATTAAGAAATCACCCAACTCTTTAAACAATAAATACTAAAGTACTTCCAAGTGAGGTTGTAGTGAGGAGATACAATGCAGTGGTTGTTGTGATAACGGTGACGGAGAAACGGAGATATCGGCGACTAGACAACATATTTTCACTTTTCTATTTTGCTAACAAAAATTTGGATTTGTGAAATATTAATTTCTAAGCATCGGTCAACAGTCATTCCCAATTTTCCAAATAAATCCAGTGAGTGGAATGGAGAAATACAAAAAAAATATAAACACAAAAAAGCCATGATTTTAACATTATTTATCTGAGTAAAAAAAAATCAATTTTGATCTTATGTCAATAATGCATGGCATGAAATTCCTCAATGGCTCTTAAATACAGAACAACCCAGAAAAGCCATGATTTTTTTATTTAATAAAAGATAAAAAGTTCTTCTCAGTCTATAGCAGTCACATAAATCCAATTAATCTAAACATAACAGGAACAAAAAATAATCAAAGACGATCAAGAAATACACTCTGTCTAGTAGTTTAATGCAACTATAGTATCAAAAAAGCTATACCAAAAATTTGGGAAATGATTTATTCAAAAATATTCCCAGCACTCGAATTCACCCCTGTCAAAAAAGAGAAGGTGCACAGAGTGTTAGACATGATGGAGGCAAAACTTAAAGGATTCTAAATAAATAAATAAATTCTAGATGTGAAAGTACCAGGAAAAGAAAGATCAAGTGTTAGACAGTGTGTGTGTTGAATCAAAAGTTTTGCCTTGTATAACATTACGCACTTTTGTATTATCCATTAAGAACTTTTGAGCAGTGTACTGGTAGAAGTACTGCTGGCTGTGAATCCGACAAAACAGGAGGTGAACAAAAGCTCAATGCATCTTCATGTTAAGAAAACTCATAGTTCAAATTTTGAGCTTAAAGTTTGTATGTTTGCCTCCACTAGGAAGAGTATCATTTATGTAAAAGCAGTATGACATCCCAACCACTTGCTACAAAATGTGTGCCGTTCTTGCTAGAATTCCAATAGCTGACTGGTCTAATTTGCAAATATAGTGGATCTCAAAAACTATGCTGATGTTGTTCTCCGTCCGATTAGTATGTCTGTCATGCAATGTTTTTCCACATCATCAAACTAATTAGGTTCATACTGAATGAAAAAATTCACCTGCTCGCTTACAATTACAGACCTGGAGAAAATTTGCATTCTGAAAGACAACAAAAGCTCTCAGCAGTATTTTGGGCACATACTGCTGCTTCAATTGAGGGATGGGATGAATAATGAAGTTAGGTATGGAGATGCATTAAAGAAGTGGCCATTTCTCCATCCGAATGCAACAAAACTGCTTTCAATCTCCATTATATTCAAGGCAGGTGCAAGATGTCATAGATTTAATTCATCCCCTCCCGATTATACATAAAGGTTGACAACTTTTGAAGTGAAGTGAACTATGAATTTCAACTTTAGAATACAAAATACATCAAATTTTTACCAATAATCCCGACAAGAACATGCACCGTCACTGAAACAATGGAATCTATTATTATCCCTAATGACTATCTCTCTCCCTGTAACTTTTGATATGAGTTTTATTGCCTCGTGACAATCGCCACAAACACGAAGATTTTTAACAACACGAATCACATCTTTGGCACAAGTACTGATCAGTGCAAATGCAACAGCTAATTTTTCACTATGACAACCAAGGAAGTACTCTTTCTCCTCCTCCTCTACATTGAAGAGTACAAACTCGGTGGTTGGATTATAACCAGCTTCTTTCAAGTCCTTCAATAAGCTTTCAAGCTTTTCATATATCTTTTGTGATAATGGATGGGAAGTGTCTCCAACAAGGAATTCATGAACGACCCCGTCAACTTCAACCCAACTATACCCAGGTAACTTTTGCATTCCTTTTTCATTCAATGTTGACCTGATTTTTTCCGCCTCATCCCATCTATGACTTGCTGAATATATATTTGATAAGAGAACATAATGTCCTGAATTCCATGGTTCTAACTCAATGAGCTGTTTCAGCACATGTTCAGCCAATTGGGTTTCCCGATGTAACCTACATCCACCCAACAATGCCCCCCAAACAATAGCATTAGGCTTCATTGGCATACCCTTGATCAAATTATGTGCTTCAACCATCAAACCTGCCCGGGCTAGGAGATCCACCATGCATCCAAAGTGCTCAATGGTAGAAGTCACACCAAATACATGACTCATGCTGTTAAAATAGCGACGGCCATCATCAACCAGGCCAGCATGGGTACATGCACAGAGCAAACCAACAAAAGTATTCTCGTCCGGTCGAATTCCATACTTTCCCATTTGCCCGAAAACTCCAAATGCAGCCCCAAAATGTCCATACATTGACAGTCCAGAAATAACAGCATTGAAAACAACACGATCTTTCTCTTTCATCATTTTGTAAACCCTCAAAGCCTCCTCCACACTTCCACATTTTGCATACAAGTCAATCAAGGAAGTACCCAACACAGGGTTAGACAAAAACTCCTCCTCATCCATCAAACCCTTAGCCCAATTTCCTAACTCCAACGCTCCCAACCTTGCACATGCAGAGAGAACTCCCACCATGGCATAACAATCAGGTCTCACATTTACCTTCCTCATTTCAAAGAACAACTCGAGTGCCTCTCTTGGTAACCCATTATATGCATAACTTTGAATCATAGCACTCCAACAAACAACATCCTTCTCAACTATTCCATCAAACAGACATCGCGCTTCCTCCATACTTCCACACTTAGCATACATATCCACCAAAGAGGTAGCCACAAAAACATTCCTATGCAAACCACACTCACTCATACACCTATCTATCCACCTCCCACTCTCCAAATCCCCTAACCGCGCACAGGCCCGCAAAACACGAACAATTACAAAACCATCAGGTCTCAAACCCGTCTCCAACAACCCTCTAAACAAATCAACCGCTTCCCTACACTGACCAAACTCAATATACCCACAAATAATAGCAGTCCAAGATACAACATTTTTGTCAGGAATATCATCAAACACCTTCCGGGCATCACTTAAAAACCCACATTTAGAATAAAAACAAACAACATTCGTTTTCACAAAAACATCATAATCAAAACCGGTTTTAATCACAAGAGAATGAATAGTAAGACCCAATTGAAAAAGATTGAGTCTGGCACAAGCTTTGAGGACAAAAGGAAAAGTGAAGTTGTCAGGGACAAGAGAGGCTTTATGCATTGAGGAATACAACTGAACAGCTTCATGGAAACGGTCGTTTGAGACCATGCCGCGAATCATAGTGTTGTAAAGGAAGGTGTTTGGGTTTAATGTTGTTTTGTGGAAAACGAGGATTGGGTAGTGGGTGTTGGAAAAGTTTAAGGAAGAGCGGAGGATGATGTTGAGGAGGTAGTTGTCGTGGTGGAGGTTGAGGCGGAGGAGGCGGCAATGAGCGAGTTTTACATGTTTCAATGACTTCAATCCTTCCAATAAGCACCATTTCTTGAGCTCTAAGGCCATCTTGCTATGCTATATCATTGTTGTGCTAATTCATATGTCAAGTTTTGTGGTGCTTTGAACTTATGGAATACAATCCTTTTCATTTCTGAAAGGAAATCATTGATGTAATGTTGATTGAAAAATAATATTTTGTAAACTATTACACGAGGGAACTTTAGACAAATATTTTGATAGTGTTAATTTAGTTTTAAACTATAATCTTATTGTCAAATTACATGGGACAGTTTAAAATATATATATATATATATATATATATATATATATATATATATATATATATATATATATATATATATATATATATATATATATATATATATATATATATATATATATATATATATATATATATATATATATATATATATATATATATATATATATATATATATATATATATATATATATATATATATATATATATATATATATATATATATATATATATATATATATATATATATATATATATATATATATATATATATATATATAAAAACTATCAATTTAATCTTTAAATTGTTATCTTATGGTTAATTAGTCCAAGATTTTGTTTGGTTTGAATGTAGTGGTATGTATTAGGAGATTAATTTAGGCAATTAGGTATATAATTTTGCTTCTATAAAACGCGCAAACAACGTCAGATTTACAATGGATTTATATACACCTTTTTAATAAATTAAAATTTCCGCGCCCTGAATTCATAAACAGTAATTTAATGACGGTTGTCTTAAAAAATCGAAGTAATAAATGATGTGTAGCAAGCTTCGATTCCCAACAACTATATTTTTTCTATTTTTTATAGTACATTAAGTGATGGTAAGTATTGCAACAGTTATTGGGCCGTGATTGTAAGTCATATATACAACGACACTCTACATAACAACGCCTAGGCCCGCGTGATTATATATTTTTCCCAACCGTTGTTAAATGAGTTTTCCGTAGGAGTGTTTTGTGCATATGCATTGATGTATGATAATATAAATGGATTACCATGCAAATACATGCATAACTGTGGCTGACTCTGCACCATCTACCATGCATTCTTTGTTATATATAAGTGGTTATGGTTTTGTAAATCTTAATAGAGATTGAATGAATAATGTGAAAAATAAATTCTATAATGGTTTCAATCGCGAGTCGATCCCTTCTGCTCTCTCTCACTTCCCTAATAGAATTCGGTTACGTAGATAACATTTCCTCTCTTCTTCATCTTCTTCGTTGAGCCTCCATGAAAGAATCTTCTAATGTTAAACTGGCTGCACCAGGCGGCAGTGTTCGTCAATCGCCACCACACACAGTGGTTTCTGCGCTTGATTCATCTATTTCACACCATTTTTGTCTAAAATTTTTGAATGAATTGTAGAAAAACAATTACCTACCCTGGAAATGCTAGGTTAAAGGTATGATCCTAGCTCAGAGAGCTCATAATTGGTGGTGAATCCTCACATTCTGGTTAAATCCAAGATGCCTCAAGATCAGCTTGAAGGTAAGATCTTTGATGAATATGAAGAATGAATCGTTCAAGTTCAAGTTATTTTTATCTGGCTTGTCTCCACGATATTTGAATTTGTTCTTCCTCGTGTTATCTCATGCAAGCATGCCTTCGAAGCTTGGGATAGAATTCACAAGTACTTCAATACACACATGAAGGCTCACGTTTGCCAACCATGCATTGAATTGAAATCAATTAAGAAAGGTATTAGTTCAGTCACTAGATTTATGTTATATGTTAAAGTTATTACAAACTTGTTGCGTATAGTTAGAGATATTATTTCCGAACATGATCAAATTAACTTTATCCTTGACGGCCTTCCTAAGGAGTTTAATTTGTTTATTATGGAAATGTATGGAACTCATGAGCCTCTATCTCTCTATGATATTAAAGTACTCATCTATGTTCAGGAGGCGTAGCTTGATAAGTTCCTTCAAGAGCTGGCTATTTCCTTTGTTTCAGTAAATGATGCGAATAATAATCATCAAATAGTTGGTGGGCGTGAAAACTCTGATCATATTTGAGGTCGTGGACGAACATTTCATGGTAGAGGATGTAGTCGAGGCAGCGCCTCATTTGGAAATCGACCTACTTGTCGACTTTGTGGCAAATATGGGCATGATATGATTGATTGTCTGCATCAATTTAATGAGAGATTCACTCATGCTCAAGCTCCGGCTACATCTTAACACTTTACTGATTTCTCTGCACACAAGCTTGAAGCTTCCATTGCTGATCCTCAAGCTCTGGTCTTAATGTCCACTGCACACGAGTATTCCTTGCCTTGAGACCTTGAGAGCCAAGCTTGGTTTGTTGACTCATGTGTATCTCATTATCTTACTTCTCATGCTTCTTACTTGCAGTCTAAGAAAGCTTATTCAGGTATTTGTCGTGTTAGTGTTGCTAATGGCCAATCCCTCTTAATAAGTTGTGTTGGCTCTAAACGCGTTTCTTACCTGTTGTGTCCCTTTTCCATATTTGTTCTTAAAGATATTTTGTTAGTTCTTGATTGGCAGACATTTTGGTAAAACTAGGTGTAATCACAAGATGTCCTACAGGATGTCGTAACATCTGTCTGTCAGGATCAGCAGGTTGCTTTGGACTTTTTAACAGGACTTATCTCATGATGTCAAACAAGATGTCTTGACACTCATGGACAAAACATTATGTATGAATATTTTTGTCTGTCCATTTCTTTATGTACAAGTTTGTTGCACTGCTCTGGTGTAGAATCTGCGTGTTTTTAGTGGTGTTCTAAAACGTTTCTGATACACTTATTGTGGATCAGATTTGATTTGATTTGGAGTTATTCTTAGAAGATTGATTGAAGATTGGAAGAATGATTTGATTAGATCTGATTGATCAAATCAAATCTGCTTTATTGTTGCTACTGATGAAGATTGAAATCTTCTCAAATCCTGCTGTTACTTTTGCCACAACCCAAGCCCATTCTGCATTGCTATTTAAAGAGGCGTAAACCCTAGCTTGAAGATCAGAGAAGCAAGGATTAAAAGTGTGTGCATCTTAAGCTTCGTGTGTGTTAGTTTTGTGAGTCATTCACTTATTGTTTAATGTGTGAATTGGACTAAGTTGTTAATTGTAAATTGTTCACTCAAAGCTTGTAAGCAAGAGTGTATTGTACTTGATTAAAGCTTTTAATCAAGATCAAGTTATGACTTTGAAGGTATCTTCTAAAGTCTTTTTATTTTATTGATTGCTATCACTGTTGTGATTGAGGGGGAGTGAGAGGTGTCTCTTGTCTAGGTGTGTTCTAGGCAGAAGTTGCATAGGTAGAGATTAAGTGAGGAGTTGTAAATTGGGAGTTTAGCTCTAAATTAATTCTACTATTTGTGAATTTCCTCCCTGGCTTGGTAGCCCCCAGACATAGGTGTGGTTTCACCGAACTGGGTTAACAATTATTGTGTCTATTTGCAATTGTTTTTGTTTATCTTTGTTCTTATTGTACAGATATTTGTGTCGTGAACATCTCTTTCGACATCTAATATCTGATACCAGAATTTCAATTGGTATCAGAGCAGGCATCCTGCTCTGGTTCTGGGTGAGATCTAGGGACGATACTTTCTGGTACCATGGAAAAAGAAGGAGGATTTATGAACAAACCACCTATTTTGAACGGGAACAATTATGACTACTGGAAACCTATAATGGTTTCCTTCTTAAAGTTTGTGGACAGTAAGGCATGGAAAGTTGTCATCAAGGAATGGGAACATCCTATGATTGTTGATAAAGATGGAAAGGCTACAACTGAATTAAAACCTGAGGAAGAATGGACAAAGGAAGAAGATGATCTAGCTATGGGAAATTCCAAGGCCTTGAATGCCTTGTTCAATGGAATTGACAGGAACATATTCAGGTTGGTGAACAACTGTGAAATTGCTAAGGAAGCATGGGAGATTCTAAAGACTACTCATAAAGGCACATCCAAGGTAAAAATGTATAGACTTCAACTCCTTACAACTAAGTTTGAAAGCCTAAGAATGAAAGATGATGAAAGCATACATGACTTTCATATGAATATTCTTGAGATTGTCAATGCTTCAAGTGCTCTTGGTGAAAAGATGTCTGAAGAAAAGCTGGTAAGAAAAATTCTCAGATCTCTCCCCAAGAGATTTGACATGAAAGTAACTGCCATAAAGGAAGCTTTAACAGATGAATTCTGGATAAATGCCATGCAAGAGGAATTGGGTGAACTTAAGAGGAATGAAGTTTGGGATCTTGTGCCAAGACCTGAAAGAAAAATTATGATTGGAACCAAATGGGTTTACAAGAATAAATCTGATGAAAAAGGAGTGATCACTAGGAACAAAGCCAGGTTGGTTGCTCAAGGATATACTCAGATTAAAGGGATTGATTTTGACGAAACTTTTGCTCCTGTAGCTAGACTTGAATCCATCAGACTTCTTCTGGGAGTTGCTTGCATTCTGAAAATCAAGCTGCTTCAAATGGATGTCAAAAGTTCCTTTTTAAATGGTTACCTAAGTTAAGAAGTCTATGTGGAACAACTTAAGGGTTTTGTTGATCCAACCTTTCCTAATCATGTTTTCAAGTTGAAAAAGGCCATGTATGGCCTGAAGCAAGCCCCTAGAGCATGGTACGAAAGACTAATAGAGTTTCTTGTTGAGAATGGATATAGAAAAGGTGGCATAGATAAGACCTTGTTTATCAAAGAAAAAGAGGGAAAACTCATGATTGCTCAAATTTATGTTGATGACATTGTCTTTGGTGGGATGTCAGAAGAGATGGTTCAACATTTTGTACAGCAAATGCAATTTGAATTTGAAATGAGCCTTGTTGGGGAATTAACTTACTTTTTGGGTCTTCAAGTCAAACAGATGGAAGAATCCATATTTTTATCTCAGAGCAAGTATACCAAGAACATTGTTAAGAAGTTTGGAATGGAAAATGCCAGCCACAAAAGAACTCCTGCACCTACCCATCTAAAATTGTCCAAAGATGAAAAAAAAGTTAATATGGATCAAAGTCT